GACTTGGGTGCAGGGACCTGCTGGCTCCTGGCTGCCCCCCGGCCCCATTTACATCCCATTTCCATGTGAAAGGAGCAGGTCAAGTTGAAAGTTGAAAGGCTGGTGGGGGGCGGCCGGGAAGGGGCGGCTGCCGGAGGTGAGACCCCAACAACAAAATGGCCGGATCCCCAGGGCCCTGCGCTTGCCTGGCCACGGGCTGCGGCCCCAGCCCCGCCGGCAGCCACCATCTGCGGGTCCCCGCTGCCGCACGCCGCCGCCGTCGCGCAGACAAAGGCCTCACGCCCGGCACGTTCCCATCTGTCACCTCTCCGGCTCCTGGCCCTGAGCTGCTGCCTGCGGAGACGTACGGGGAGAGCCAGGTGCAGGCAGCATCCTTCCCTCTGCCTGTGGGCAGCGGGGAACAAGGCGATGCTGGGCCCAGCAAGAGCTCCCCATTGAGTCCCCAGGTCCCTCGGAAAGCCATCCCGCCTGGCAGAGCCGCTCTGCAGAGCCCACAGCTGGGGAAACTGAGGCAGGAGCAGGCGGTGCCTCGCCCCGCGTCAGGGCACGGGGTGATGCCCCCACTGCAAAGCTGGGCGCAGCCGCAGCGTGGCAAGGGGCTGTAATTAAATGCCAGGAATTAGCACCCACCCAGAGGAGGGGGTTGGGGGTCTCCCGGCTCCAGGGGTGCCTCTGCCTGGGGCTGCCCGAGCCATGCCAAGCCCCAGCCTCGCTGCTCCGCGGGTGCTGCCGGGCACCTGCAGCTGCCTCCACCCAGCACTTCCAGGGAGGATTTGGCCTCTGAGCACGCTTTTTGCTTGTTGGCGGCTGCATTTAGCTCCCGGGAGGTCCTCGAAGCAGCACAAGGGGGGCCCAGCCCCGAGCCTCTGCGGGAGGTGAGAGCGGAGCCAGTGCCCACACCTGCCTGTCCCTCTTTTCCAAACACCATTCCTCCATCCCTGCCCCATCCCCCTGTCCCTGGGGCAGCGGCAGAGGTGCTGAGCCGGGCGCTGGGAGAGCACTCCTGCGGCAGGCTGCCCTCCCGAAACCTGTCCTGGGATGCTCCCAGGGAGGGTGAGGCTCCGGGGCGCTGCCTGGCTCCAACGCCCTGCTCCAAAAGCACCGGGCTGCCCAGACGTGCCCGGGCAGCTGCCTGCAGCCGGCTGCCTGCCCACCGCG